CCCCGCCGAGGGCCGTGCACAGGCGGCAAGGAAAGAACACAGGCCGGTGCCCCGGGGCGGGCCGGGCACTGGGGCGGGCCGCCCTGCGCCTGCGACCTTCTGTGTACGCCTTCCCCAAACCGCAGGCTCTGGGGAGCCGGACCTGGGGACTGAGCCTGGGGTCCCGATGAGAAGGGGTGCCCCAGGGATCTCTGACTCAGAGCCCCCCAGGCACGGAGCCCTGGCCTGCCAGGTTCCCCCTGGAGGGAGAACGCATCCGCCCCAAGCTCCGGAAGCGTGGCCAGTCAGGCCCTGAGCGGCGCCACTGCCACCTGCCTGCGTCCTTAGGTGACTTCCTTAGCCCTGGAGCAGAGGCCACGCCACCTGTCCCTATGTCAGAGCGTCGGCCACCTAAGATAAAGCAGGTGCGGAGTAAATGCACCTCGGGCCCCGACCGCGCCAGCTGTGACTTGGGTGCCCAGACACCATCAATCACCCACGCAGCCCCTCCCCACCTGGACAGGTGAGTCAGTCTCGGGGTCAAGGGGGCGGGTAAGGGCACGCCCTCACCCTGCAGTTACCTGACAACACTGCCCGCCTGGCGGGTCAGGAAGGGGTGGCGGCCGCATGGGACAGCCGCGTGGAGGGCGGTGACGGCGGTGACGGAGGAGACGTGGCCACACGTTCGCGCAGGGGGACCATGGCTCCTGACAGCTTTCAGAGGCATCTGTAAACCTCCGGAAACTATGTTTGTGTCCGAGTGCGTTTTTCTGGGCAGCGGGTCTGTGGCTTTTCAGATTCGCAAAGGGTTTTTTGCCCTCCTAGAAGGTTAAAAACAGTTGTGGAATATTTTCTTACATTTTAGGTAACAGGAAACGTTTTAAAGATGTGGATTTACTCTCGATTCTAAGCCCCCTGCAGCCAGCGCCACAAACGGCTGTCAGGAGGCCAGCAGACGTGTCTGTGTAAGCAGAGGTTTATTTTTAAAAATCGGTCTCATCTTTCGAAACTCTTGAATAAAAAAGAAGCTCACAATTTAATTTTTAAAAAAAAATCGACTGCATAAATGGCCAGGTTTAATTTTACACTCACCTTGGGATTCCAAGTTTATTGAAAGTTTCTCTTTGGAACCTCGTCCCTCTTCATGGGTCACCGGCGGTTCCCCAGTTTTCAGAGTCGGACATAGCCGTGTGAATCATTCGCACATGTCACGACATTTAGGAGAAACTCGCTGAGCCCCCAGCCCGGCCCGGCGGGGTCCCGCTCTCAGGGGAGGGCCGCGGTGGCCCGCCTGTGCCGCGCACGAGGCCGCTGGACGCACAGCGAGAGCCCAGGCCTCCAGGCGCGAGGTGGCAGAGCCGGGCCGCCCGTGGCCGCGCTGCCCTTGGGCTGTGTCACCTGCGGTGCAGGAGCGCGTTACCTGAGCGAACACGGTGGTCACAGCCCTGCAGCGTCGCACACGGTCCAGCGGGATCCGAGCCCCGAATTTAGGATTTGTGGGTCCTCCGTGGGAAATCGGGCTGCGGAGGGTCCTTCCAGTGTGCATGGCCACGCCGCCTAAGCGGGGTCCCCTGCCGCGTCCCCCGAGCCCTAGGTGGAGGCGCCTGCCACGCAGTGCGAAGGGCTGTCAGCGAGGTCCTGCCCGCCCTGTCCCCTGTCCTTCCCCTGCTGACCTCAGGCTCCTGCCCAGGAAGGACGCAGGTCTGAGCCCCCACCAGGTCTGGCATCCCTGTGCCCCCTGGCCACCCCGGGGAGCACAGCGATCACAGTCAGAGCCTGGGGGCTGCAGGGGCGCATGGTCACCTCGTTCCGTGGTTTCCGATCATCGCTGGGTCCCCAGAGTCGTCTGCGGTTGTGGCAAAGGCTGGATGTCTGCTCGCCAGGAAGAGAAGGTGTCCACGCCCAGACCCGCCTCCTTGGTCCCCATGGCTCTGCATCTGAGCGCGGACCCGAGACGCTGCCCACCTGAGTGGCCGCCACCCCTGCCACCACCACCGCACTGGTGGCCACAGTGGCCCAGGCGGGGCCTAGGGGCGCTGGGGACCACGCTGCCCAGGACGTGTGCAAGCTGAGCAGGGGTCCAGGCCTTCCTCTGGCTCCAGCCAGCTGAGTGACCTCGGGCTTGTCACTTTTCTCTGGACCTGTCCAGTCATCTGTAAACAAGGGAAGTGTCCTAATTGGGTGTTAAGTCCTTCTACTTCTCCAGGCTCTTTGAAATGCCCTGTACCACTGTCACGCCCCTTAGAGTGGGCGCAGGGCTAGAACCAGGTTGGGGACAGCCAGGCCGTTGCTATGGCCCCCACATGGCTTCCTCCCCCTCGTTCTCCTTAGCCCCACAAATGACCTTGGGCTTCGCAGCCTTCCACAGGGGTTTCCTCTGGTGGAAAAAATGTCTGTGTTCCAGAGTTTTACCAAAACTTCAAAGTTTGGGGGCGAAATTAACAGTAGTGAATAAACTCAATGCCACAATCATGGAAAAGCAGGGTGATGATATCGATTACTTCTGGAGTAAAAGATTAATGGAACCAACAGGGATTCAAACATCTGACAGGCCCTCTGCTGGACCCCACAGTCAGTGCTCCCCAGAGCATCTACACGTCCAGGTGGCCCGGCTCCAGACCCCTGGAGAAGGTGGCCTGGCGGCTGGCCGACTGTTTCCTGTTCGGGGTGCAGCCTTGGTGCCCATCCAGTGAAACACCTGGGTCAACTTGAGGGCAGGTGTGCGAACCACCCTTCCCTTTCGGAGGGGAAGGGCAGGCCACCGGGTCCTGAAGATGAAGGACCGACAGCCCCCCTCCTGGGTGAGAGCGCGTCCCCTCGGTGTTCCCACAGGGACAATCAGTCCGTCTTATCTGCTGCAGGCAGATACGGTGGCGCCGCGTCCGCCAAGGAGGCCTCTTCACTCCCTGAGCTCTCGTCGCTTCTCAGACCGCAGGAGCTGAGGACAGACTGTGTTCCCGAAGTCCCAGACCCTTCTCCCCTCCCCACCTTCCTTTGTGGACATTTCCAGGTGCCGTGGTCCCTCTAACTGCAGCGAGGCAAGAAGAGGGGGCAGCCTCTCCATACGGCGACGTTCATACAAGGACTAAGTGCCCACGGTCTGGAAAGGCGCGGATGGGGCTCGTAAGTGGTCTTCCGAGATGCTCACAGCTGGGCCACCCTTTAAACCGTCCTCTGAGCGAGAGGAAAAACAGCTGCTGGTTCCAGTGTGACCCCTGAGGGGCTGAGGTCGCTGACTGAACGGATGACCTCGCTGTCCTCTGCAGCCCTGCTGAGATGCCAGCAGGGCCGGTGGGTCCAGGGCCCTGCTGCGGGGGAACAGAGGGGACCGTGGGGGAGGCGGGCAGCATGAGGGGCGGGGGTGGCAGGAGGGGAGGGAGCAGGAACAAGGTTGACGGGGGCGTCGGCGCTGCTGCCCACGCCGGCTGAGTCCGCCCCTCTGCTCGGTTCCAAGGGGCACCGGCCTGTCCTCGGCAAGTGAGGTCACTCGCTAAGGAACCTCAGTGGGGGCGCCCAGCTCCCACGGAAAGAGCAAGGCCTCCCTTGGTATTTAAGACACTCTTCGCCCTGTTTGCCTCCGTCCTCCTCGTCCACCCCTCTCGGAGCCAGAGCTCGCCGGGCTGAGCGCAGCCTTCCATTTCCGTTAACCCTCGTCCCTGTGCCCGCGTCCGTGTCTTCCTGCCGACTGCGAGCCCGCCCCGAGCCCGCACGGAAGAGGTAGAAGAACTTGGGCTAAGATCCGAGGTCTTTCCTTCTGGGTTGTCGGACTGGCGCCCACGGCTCAGACTCGGCTTGTGGAGAGTGAGTCGCTGGCCCAGGTCCAGGAAATAGGCGGCTGCCACCCGGGGCCGCTGAGACCTTCGCGCTGGCCCACCTGGTGTCAGAGTCCGCAGGGTCTTCAGGGAAGAGCGCGTGGACTCGCGGGGAGGGAGCAGGCCTGAGTCCTGCCCGGGGCAGAAGTCCCAGACGCAGGCAGAAGCGGCTGTCCCTTTAGTGGCCGAGGAGTTGTCCGACAGAGGAGGCTGAATTCCCGGGGTCCCTCCGCCGAGCCGGTGGGGCGGGCCAGGCTTCCCAGCGTCCCGCCCAGCTGACCGCCCGGACCTCGCCTTCGTCCCCAAACCATCCGGCCACCAGCTAGCTGCCCCGCTAAGCCTCATGCTGACAGACCCCCAGCCCTAAGGCAGGCTGTGCATCCAGCC